AATGGTGTACCAAGGTCCCTATATATCCCCCGATTTGCACGAAATTTGCCATAGCGTACTGAATTGAGTCTAGAATGATGTGTGTAAAATGTCTGGAAAACCGGTTTAGATTTACATATAGCTCCCATATATATTTTCGTCCGATTTCATGTAAATGATTCACATTAGTCCCTATATATCTTTCGATTTCAACCAAATTTGGCATATCGTATTGACTTAGCTCTAGAATGATGAGTGTTAAGTTCCGTGAAAATCGATTCAGATTTAGATATAGTTCCCATATATATTTTCCCCCGATTGGTGCCCCAAAATCCCTATATATCTTTCGATTTGGACGAAATTTGTCATAGCGTAAGTTTCATGAAAATTGGTGCAGATTTAGATATAGCTCCCATATATTTTCGCCTGATTTAATTTTAATTTTGAACGAAATTTGACATAGCGTACTGAAATTGTCCGATTTTAAGACCCAAAGTTAGGACGATTGCCACACAATTTTGCACAACGTACTAAAGTATCTGTAATATATTATGTGACAAGTTTTGATGAAATCAGTTCGTATTTAGATATAGCTCCCATATATATTTTCTTCCGATTTTAAATATTTTTTAAAGGTCCGTCATTTTGATGATTTTTGAGCGAAGTCAATAATCCTAGTTCATACGAGAGCCAGACATGTACCCTTTCTAACACTGATGTTTTCCCTTAAATGAACAAGCTATGAATTTGTTGTCGGGAATAAATCAAGTGAATTCTAGAAAAATATATAATAACATAAATATATACTCGGTCACACATAAATATTTAACTGAAAATAATTAAGTTTGGAAATTTCTACAATTATTTCCAATAGTTCTTAGAAATAATATTGCATTTTGTACTGAAGTATTAAAATAAATTAAAAATTGCAATAATAGATATAACAACAAATTTATATATTTCTACAGTTAATCAAAATAGAATTGGTGTGACTCAAGTATTTATCATTTCGAATAATCTTATCAGGAAAATTTGTTATTGTGTTCTATTTCAAGCACTCAATAAAAATAAGTAAGTAGTACACCGCATAATCAAAGCACCTCGATATGCAGTGTTATCTAGCCACAATTTGATATTTACTTGGCGATAAAAACAGTTTAATTTAATACTTCTATTTATTTGGAATTTCAAATACAATATTGACGTAATTCCGACACCATCAAGTGATAATAGCGATAAAGGTCTAACAATTATTTACTTCACAATTTAATAATTTACTATTTGACACAATTTAAAGACAAACATTTTTAAAGTTATTCTACGAAGTAAAAAAAACTTTATCAATGTATGCCTTCCTTTTTTTGCTTTGGTGTTTTTCACAGTTCAAGAAAAAGTTCTCACACTGACGTGCTTTGCCATAAATCTGTCTAACAGCTGTACTGTTTTGTTTGCCACGTTCACTTGTACTTGGCCTGAAGCAACACTTTTTGCCTATTTTTCCTTTCCTTGTTGTTGTTGTTTGTTTTGTGTTGTTGTGCTCAAATAATAAACTTCCAGTGCCTGTCTAAGTACTCTGAATGCAAAGTGGGCATAGACTCTCAAGCCCACTTGGCTTTGTTGTTTTGTTTGAAGCCAACTTCATGCCGACTACCAGCACCATTTGTTGACTTTCAAATAATCCTTATGAGAAAAGTTTATGTTATGATGTTGTTGCTATTGTTTTTCTTGTTTTTGTCGCACTTCCGATAACCGTTGTTGTTGTACATGTTGTTGCTATTTCTATGCAAAGCACACAACAACAACAAAAAGGATTTTTTCTGATCCTAAGGATACAAGTAATATGAAAACAACAGTTATTATTTTCAACATATAGCCAACGGGTAGGAGAGCTAGCAATCAGGATGTTTATCGGAAACGGAAGGTCTAGGAGAAATGGAAAAATTATCAGCGCAACAACAATATGATTTGTTATATATTGCATAGGTCGACTGGAAATGTTGGCTAAAAAGGTAGCAAAAAGTGAAGACTATAATTTGTATGCAACATATTTACCTATAAAAATCAAATATTGAGGGACAAAATTTCAAGAAAATCGAGGTTATGGTCTGGTCAATACTATGAAGTTCATGGAAAAACTTTATATCTTTGAGGCTATTGCAGGCTATTATTGAGATTACAAGTCGTCAGTCAAATTGAATGAGGAATAGGTTTGAAAAACATATCCTTGATCTAGATCAAGTCCATTTTCTTTTATAGTAAAATCATTCATGAGTCTTCAGACATGCGACTTATAAGGTGCTGCAAATAACAGTCAATATTGACTTTGTAAAGTTATTCTTTAAATAATCCATTCCTATAGAAAAAATCATCTTATAATGCTTCTGATAAAGCCAAAATGCCGTTCTATAGGAAAAGCCTCTGTGTCTCTAATAAGGCCTTTGATTTTTTCCCTTAGAAAAAATTGCACCTAATGAGCCATTTGTGACATTTTTTATAAAAAAATCTTCATTTAGGCTATCTATTTTTACTATAGAAAAGAAAGACCTTCAGGGTGGACATCGTTTTTTTTCGTTGGTAATTTAAGCACTTTGATTTGTTACAAGAGACATTTAGATATCAAAGGTTGTTTTGTAAAGACGCATAAATAGCTTCTGGGGAGAATATCCCAACAAAAACCCAGTAAGGAAAGTAGTAAAATCGGACTGAGCCGACTATATGATACCCTTCACCACTTTGGTATATTCTACATATTATCCTAACGTCACCTTTTCGAAGGAACATTATCATGAAATTTAACAAACTTTAATAGGTGATCTTAATCTATATGTAGATTGACTAACATCAATCCGTACATATATTCTGAAACCTATGCTAAGTTGAATTTCATTCAGGCAGAATTAGAGTCGTTTGCGATGACAATGGGACAAATTTATTTAAATCGATTTATGGCAAACTTAATACACGCTATCCGGTATGACGCACTTTCGTGTTAATCTGATTTTCACGAAACATAGCACACATCATTCTAGACTCAATTCAGTACGCTATGCCAAATTTCGTGCAAATCGAAGAATATATAAGGTCCTTGGTGTACCATTTACATAAAATCGGACGAAGATATATATATATATATATGTTTGAATCGATTTTTACGAAACTTAGGCAAAATTTAGTACAAAATCATTATAGACAAAATTTAGTACGCTGAGCCAAATTTCGTGCAAATCGAGAGATATATGGGTACTATGCTGCATCATTTACCTTAAATCGGATAAAAATATATATGGGAGCTATATCTAAATATGAACCGATTTTTCCCAGTTTCGATAGGGTTCGTTTAAATTAAGATAGACAGGCGGATGGACGGACATTGCATATTCATATTCTTAAAAGGAACTATGGGTCAATCTTGTTCCCTTTTGCCAGTTACAGACATATGCACAAAGACATAATACCCTGTACCACAGAGTGGTGAAGGTTATAAAAATAGTATCTAGGGAGGATTGTGAAAATCGACTACTACAGTTTTTTTGCAAATAGAGAGCAGGACTTCTATGAGAGAGGCATTATGACAACAAAACGGTGCATATTTCGGTCATTCCGTAGCATGTTAAATAAAGTCCTATAGTTCATATAAAAATAACGGTTTTTTCCCTCGACGTAATATAAAGCGAATAATAATGTTATTCTGAAAACCTCCACAAACCATATGCTAAGGGTATGGTATTTTTACTTGTTTATAGAAAAAATTGCTCTTATGTGTTGTACTAAAAATATTCATTAAAAAATACACGCCTACATCTAAGATACACGTAGGATTTTTTTTACATTATCGATTATCCATAATTTACCTCTATTGAGGACATCAAATTTTAATAGGAAAAATTCAAGTATTTTTTCTATGACGCCTTAAATTTATTCTATAGAAAATATCTCTGTTGAGGACTCAAATTTGTTCTATTCCATAAAACACCTAATGAGAGATCATATGTTTTGCTATGGAAAAAATTCTTCCTGCCATCGTTTTTTTTTTGTAGAAAAAGTTCTATTGAATTCTAAATTATTTGTATTGGAAAATTGTTTTTTTTTTGTATGTAAAATAAAAGCCTCTAATGATTCGTTTTCTTTTTATAAGAAAAACTAGCATATACCCGCTACTTCGTTAGCGAATGTGGGCTGTATTTAAAACCCTATACCGACCATATTTTTATTAGAATTTTAGAACCATTTGGTACATATGTTCTCTTTAGTACCCCTGCAGCGAGCAGCTTTAGTAAAATTGTAGTGTTTTACTGGTGACATTGTCGCTAGTACTAGTGAAAAAGTATACCACAACCAATGTAATTTCCTATGGACATTTAACATAGGCTTGTCATAGGAGAAGTACCAGTAGACCTTGACTATATTGACTAAGTAGTTCTTTTGGGACTATATGGTGACATTTGAACCAAATAGTCACTAGAAAAAGATTATATCTTTTGAGATTATGTGATGACGTGTATACCAAATAATCACTACATTATATTGGGTTTCCTGAGCTATATGTAGACATTTGAACCAAATAATCACTAGAAAAAGATTAGATCTTTTAAGTTTATATGGTGACGTTTGAACCAAATAATCACTGCATTTTATTGGGTATCCTGAGCTATATGTAGACATTTGAACCAAATAATCACTAGAAAAAGATTAGATCTTTTAAGTTTATATGGTGACGTTTGAACCAAATAATCACTGCATTTTATTGGGTATCCTGAGCTATATGTAGACATTTGAACCAAATAAACACTAGAAGACCATTAGTCCTTTCGAGATCATATGGAGGCATTCGAACCAAATAGTCATTTGAGATTTTTAGGAAAATGCTTGTAATAGAATAAGTATTTAACAACGTTACATTTTTAACGCAGTTATTAAGTAACAAAAACAAAAGTAAAGCACAGTTCAATCTACACACAATATATTTAATTAATCTAAAACAGTCTGCGAATTTTAGGCAAGGTAATAAATTAAGAAATGGATTACATATATAGCTCACTTTTTTCAAGGCTGGCCAAACCTTGTCTTATTTTTAATAAAACTGAATAGTGTTAGAACTAGGATTTTAAAATTATATAGTATAACATAAAAACATTCAGTTAAATTTGTGGTTCTTCATCATTTTCATCTTGTTCCTTTTCTTCGGTGCGCCTGCTTCGTTTGTTGATCTTAAAATACTTTTTCTTTTGGCGTTGGAACGCTGCTCGTAAAGTCTTGTCAGGTAATTTATTAAATGTTGATATAACTTCTGTTTTATAAACTATATTTTAGCATTACTTATTTGAAACAAAAACAAACACGTTTTACCTATTATGGCGGCAAGTACATTACCAAAATCTCGTAGACCTTTTTTCCCGAAAGTTCCGTCAACATTAAAATCCATAATAATATTTCTTCCAAATACTTTATGCAAATTACGTTCAGCGTTACCTGCAATGAGATTTTTCATTTGTCGAGTCTGCAATTGTAAAAATTGTTTTAGTTATGAATTTGTTATTCCCAAAACGCAGATACGTACATATAGATCTGCTTGTGTTGCGAGAATTCGATCAAATTCTCGAAGTTTTTCTTCCGATTCAATTGGAAAAATTGTCATAATATTGTCCACAAATGCGTTCTGAGAAATAACACGATCCAGTAAAACTTTATGCTCCGCCAAAATATCAATAATCGTGTCTAGTTTTCTGGCATTTTCTTGGCAGGAAGAACATTTTGCATTAGCTATCAAAAATATGAACTCAATTTTGTTATACTGTTAAAAATTTAGTGATAATCTTTGGAGATTACCTTGTGGAGCAAAATATTTCATTTTTCCTTTGGAAGGGTTGGCATTTTCGTTCGACATGTTTATGTGCGGGAGTTGTGTACTTAGGAGGTAAAAATTTGTGCTTGATATTTCTCTGGAAAGCAGGAATGTAAAATGGGCACGATTACAAAATCAGAATCAATTGGCAAGCATACAAATTTGAACTGAATGTCTTTAATACAAAATGTCTCTTTTTCCCCTAGAGTCAGATTCGTTTTGAAAATACCAATCTCACAAGAATTCACCGGTTCTTCGTAGAAACTTTCTAATGCCAAAATTCGACTGCCTTCAATATATATTTCGCCCTTTTTCTTTATATTATCAATTTTTATTGGAATGCATGAATTCACCGCGCAAATATTATCTGTTCTTTGCAGGATATGTAGCAATCATTTACAAAAGCTCCAACGATAACACCTTTTTCATATTTTAACCCATCCTGAATAGTGTTGACAATCATGCAATTTTTTTCCTTTTGAATAATTTGTTGAAAGATATGTGATGGTTTTCGAACATGTTTTTTCAGTGTTTGCAGTTTATTTTCAAATGCATATGCAGAAAACGAAATAAGGGGACCATACTTTTCTGCGCAAGAAGCCAAATGAAGCAGATTATGAACGTTAAAAGAAATGCTGTTCGAACCAAATACAGTTGAGAAGTTCTCGACAAATAATTGAAGCAAATTATTAGCTTGAACAATATTTTGATCCATATGTCGTGCATTGTTAAGAAGTCGATAAGCACAATGTAAAGTTAAAAATTCATAATAAATATCTTCGTGTACATTATTATAAAGAGCAATAATTCCTGTATAAGCAAGGAACTGGTGAAATTCAGTCGCTTTCCAATGACAAAGATCATCTAAAGGCCTGGGTTTTCTTGGGAATTCCCTTGGAATGTATTTTTTAAATTTCACCAATTCAGAAGATATTTTTGAAATATTTTGTTTTGAGGTTTTCTTTTCAGTTTTATTATGCATTATTCTGGTTAGCATTTTTTTGGTGACTCCGAGGTCAATGAGATGCATGCTATCTAAAGGAGTCTGATTTATCATACCAAATCCAATTTCTTCGAGAGGAGTTTTTTCTTCTTTGAACATTTGGGAATGGTGGCATGGATACTTTCGCACAGCAAAGTCCTCATCGGAGATTAGGGAACCACTCTCGCTACTATAAGTCAAGACATTGTTTACCTTCTTCGCAATTTGAGTACACTTGGTGCAGCCATGTGTTGATGTATGTCCAGGAACTCCACAAACGAAAGCTTTTGCTGGTGCGTCACATATTAAGCAACGAAACTTCAATTTTAAATGTTTTTGTTGTATGATAAACTGACCTTTTAGTAGAATCACTTCATCAATGAAGTCTTTCAAATACACATTCACACTACCCGGCTTGGTGTTTCCCAAGTATAATCCAACAACAAACGGTTTTGTTTTCTCCTGAATATTAACGATTCTGCAAAGGATTGGCCACAATTGCACACGAGAGCTTTTGAACAGTGGAATTCCATCGATATTTATATCTAGTTCGACTTCCTCATACTTTTCCAAAATGTGACCAACTTTTCGTAGTTGTGTTTCTATGCCAATATGACAATAAATTCCAGGGGCAACATTTCTCGTTAACATATTTTTTGCTCTGCCCACCAAAGTCTCTCTAGTGAGCGGAACATCTAGACCTTCTTCCTTTAATATTGATAAAAGACTTTCCAAACATTTCTTTGAAGGATTCGTTTCCATGCACCACTTTTTAAGTTTGTCCCGCAACATTAATTTCGGAACTGCAAAATCTTCCATTCCATTTTCCACGAAATCATTTATAAAATCTCCACCGTTTGACACAAATTCACTTTCACTATTTTCTTGTTCACATTGCAAACTTCTGTTTTTATACAATATTTTTTGTTTTTTAATTAATCTTTTATAATTTCTTTTACTCATTTTGTTTATATATTTAATAAATAATCACCTTTTTAACAATAAAACACACAAAACAAATTAATTGCCGATAAAAACGCGTTGTTTCGATGCGATCTACAAAAAAATTACATAAAAATGTGTATATATTCAATATGTTTTAATGACAATAAAAGAAAAGCCAACTGTCGACATTGTCAGTAGAAATACACTACAATCAGTGTCCCAAACCAAACTCTACTCGTAAATTGTTGAAATTTGAACTAGTACAATTGTCTGTAGAAATAAAGTGGTAATATAAGATACACATGGATCTTTGCTCGCAGCAGGGACGTTTTTCAAATCTACCTCTATATCTCAACCCTGCACACCCATTCCGATCGCAACAGAAATCTACCTCTATATAAATTTGGTGTCACTTCTTACACTTTGTACTCAAATCAAATATAGAGTCACCCATATACAAATTTGGTATCAGTTGGTTGAGTACCATTAAGTACCAAATTTCATGATTTGACCTCTGAAGGTTCACCTAAATCAAAATCTTACCAAATTTAGTTCCATTTAACACACATACCCCAATCATACACCCGCACAGTGCTCTATCGGTTCACCCACAATACAAATTGTACCAAATTTAGCACACAGTAGTACGAATTTCAAAAACTTCCAACTTAACCCAAACCAACACCCCCACAGGGATCCTAAATTCATATTTCAGGATTCAAACTCTACCAGTTCACTCACAATTCAAATTGTACCATATTTAGTACACAGTAGTACCAATTTCCAAAACATTCGACATGCCCCAATCCTACCCCCCACTGATCCTAAATCCAAGTTTCAGGATTCCAAATCTATCGGTTCAACCACTATTTAAATTGTACCAAATTTAGTACACAGTAGTACCAATTTCCTACATACTTCAATCCTACATCCCCACACCGATCCTAAATTCAAGTTTTAGGACTCCAAATATAATACCATATAGCACATTTCGTACACATGAGTAAACGCTTTCAAACAAATCTCCTTAAATGGACCCTACTTCTCAACCTTAACTCACACTGCAAATTTCAATTTTTTAGAGCTATCCGTTCACATGCTACAGAATTTACCAAATTTTTGTACATTTTCATACTTTTCGGATTGTTATAGTTCGAATTTCCAAAAAACTCTTTTGTACATCTATCCTACACTTCCTCAACGACTACCAAACCAACCAACCATTTCAGAGTTCTAGCTCTACCGGTTCGCCAAATACAAATGGTAGTACTTTTCGTACCGTTCTAGTACGAATTTCCAAAAACCCTGCCTTATCTGTCACCTTTGGACCAAGAGTGACCCTCACCCAAAATTTCAAAATTCTAGCTTCAGACGTTTCGTCTGGGCGTTGATGAACCGTTAAATCAGTCAGCCAGTCAATTACTTTACTCTTTTATTAGTATAGATTGCCCTTGACCTTTTTTTCTGCAAAAGAAGTCAGACTAGTATTTTTCTATAGAACTAGCGGGCCCGGCAAACGTTGTCTTGCCAAGCAATATTGTTGATGTATAATTTTCGGCGTTCTAGGTTTGTTTTTATACCCTCCTCCATAAGGTGGATTGTACAAATTTTTGTAATACCTTGGTATTTATCAGATCACACTTAAAGTACAATTTGTGGTTAATGAGCGAGTCATTTTGCCATTTTTGTCTTCTAAAGTTTCTGTAGATAAAAGTTTATGAATTATTGAATTTGTGGAAAGTAAATTTAATTGAGCAGAAAATCACCCTAATTAATAATATCAATATTGACCAAGTATTCGGATAGCTCCCATATAACGGTATCCATTAATATTCGGTATTTGGCTGAAATTTTTTATTCGCCCAAGCTTCCAAATATCCCTCATATAATTTTAAATCTAATCGGCAGTAATTTGGTGTATGGTTGTTTTATTTGGTAGAATGAATCGTACTAAAAGTATATATATTGGTCCACCCTTTGATGTAGCTCCCATATAACGGTACCCAAAATATTCGGTACTTTGGGGAGTTTGTTCCAGTGTGTCAACCAAGGTGGCCGTAATGTTATTTGGTTCAAATTTGCTCATAGAGTTGGCCTAAAGTATTAAAAAGGCGCCATATTTCAAGTTCTTACCCGCTTTTTCCAACGTGAGTGTCTGTATATTATTTTTAAAGAGCATGGGCAACCTACTATCACATAGTGTTGTAACATTGTTCCCATATAAATTTCCCAACCAATTTAAGGAATCTACATATTAGAAGATATGAAAAGTTAGATTTAAGTTTAGTTGATATATCAAAGGTATTTGCAATTTTATAGTCACAGGTTCACTTTTTTTTATATCAACTTAATGAATTTTGCACAGAAAATGGCATCGTATATTAGTTTTCTCTGTGATACACATTTGTGGTATCGGATATATGCGAGGTGTTGTGTTTATAAGTTCAAAGGCATTGACCAACGATTAGGCATATAACCACCATATAATGGTACCACCTGATTTGATATTTCCCGTGCCATAGCAACATTTTAAGTGCTTTAAAGAACAACGTGTCCTTATAGAACTATTACTATTTAAGAAAAATTATCTATTGCGAATATCTTCTGATTTTTATCCTTGCATTTGTCCCAAAATGTACGTGCATTCTATGGACAACGTGTACATAAAATGATCGCGTGTACATTCAATGATATATTCTCAATTATTTTTTGAATTTTCACAAAAAAAGTTTCAATACAATGTCAATCAAATTAAAAAAAAAAAACCAGTGAGCGGAGCAGTATAGTCGGACGGGGCCGACCATACGATACCCTACACAACTACCACGAACTCTAACTTTCTGAGGATGTTTATTCCGAGTCTGAGTAATATTTGCCCCCTCTTGTCCGATTAGAGGTTAACAACACCTCTTCCTTACTTTTTTTCGAATATTCAGTACAATCCTTCTATTTACTTGTCCAGATTACCTTCACGGTAGGTTGTGTTGAGATTTTCGGATTATACTCTACTCGAAAACACACAAAAAATTATGTTTTCGGTCCATTTCATCCCAAAATTTTAATCTGATCATCACCGAAAATTGTAGGCGTTGTTCTTGACCATAACTGGAACTTCATGAAAAATTTCAAAGCCATCAGCGCGATATTTCTCCCTCTAATGTGGTAATGGGTTACTAAATAATATCTGAATACGTAAGCACCTGTAAATATTTGACTGTAACTCCCACATCTGAGTAGATACATCACTATATTTGGTATCAATTTAAAGGAAAACCACTCCTCTTGGATATGCTATCAACTCCTGGGGTCTACATCCTCCAGGAGTAAATATATATGCCATAGAATACAAATTTTGTCATTTTTCACACAAAAGTCAGGGTCCATTTGACCCGCTAAATATTGACCGATCTTTATCAAAACATGCATGCTTATTCTCTGGCCCGATCCCCTTCTCCATGCAAAAATTCGAGGTGTTTGGGCCATAATTGCGGCCTCTGGAGCGACCAGAAAAACCGACAAAAATAATGTTTTTGGTCCATTTCATCCCCTAAATATTAACCGATCTTTTCCAAAAACAATAGGGGTCTTCATTGGCCAGAACCCACCCTACATGCAAAATTTCGTGAAGTTTGGTCCATAACTGTGGCCTGTATCGTGTTTACAAATTATAATGGACAGACGGACGGACGGACGGACACACATGTCTAGATCGACTCAGCTAGTCGAGATATGACGATCGGTATACTTAAAGGTGGGTCTAGGACCAATATTTCGCGGCGTTACAAACATTTGGGGCTGCACAAAGCTATAATACCCTGACAACATAGTTGTGTAGGGTATAAAAAAATCAAAATTTTCAATAATTGACAAATGAAGGCTTAAAGGATTGATACGCTATCAATTTTTGCCCAAATATCTCAAAATAGCAACTACGACGTGGGGCAATCATAATAGCTCGATACTAAATTCGTGGAAATGCAAATATGCTTCATAATATTTTTTTGCGTTTTTCGACTTTTTCTCACCATATAAACCTTCCCTAAAGCTCCACGAAGATTTGAAGAGTAAGATAAGAAAAATCTGTTCAGCCGTTCTCGAGTTTTAGCGAGACTAACATACATCATTTTTTTTTAAGTCAATGACAATCTAATTGATTATAGAAAATTAGCATATTTTGAGAATTTTCCATAATTGACAATTACATTTTCGACCACAATATGTCCAAAAAGAACTACGAAGAGATGAAACCTTAAATGTTCGGTATAAAATGTGTGGAAATGCTAATATCTTCCAAAATATATTTTGCAACATTTTCGCGGATTTTTCTTAAAATGTTCTTTCATTAAAACCTTTCCACTTCAATTACAGACTACTAACAGAAACTTTAAGTCAAATCGGTCCAGCCGTTTCTTTAAAATAATTTTTGCATGATTTTCGCGGATTTTTCTCATAATTTTATTTCATAAAAACCTTCCCACTATAATTACCGACAACTTAAAGAAATTTTGAGTCAAATCGGTCCAGCCGTTCTCAATTGATGCGTTAGTATACATTTTTCTTTCTCCATTTTTATATATATAGAAGATTTGATCAAATTGAATATTCCATTCGCTCCATTTGATATTTAAAAGTGTTTACAATTTGTGGATAAGGGTGACCCCATATATTTCCATCATAGAACAAGATTACTCCTTCGATTACTCCTTTCGAGAGTTATAGTGCGCCCAGCTATATAGACAGACGGACATTTGTAAATCGAGTTCAAATTATCTGAAACAGAGTTGGCCCAAAGAAGCTAATATTTCGATAAGGCACAAGAAAGATTTTAAGGATTGACAATCTATTAAAAATTAACACAAGTGAGCGGAGCAGTATAGTCAGACGGTGCCGACCATACAATGCCCTACACAACTACCACAGAACTCTATCTTTCTGCGGATTTTTAGCACCTCTTCCTTACACGGACATATTTTCCGAATATTACCAATATTCAGCCCATCTAATTACTTGTCTATATTCCCTTTACCATGGATTGTGTTGTGATGTTCGGCCTCTAATTGTAGCCCATAGATTAAATCGAAAAAACCAAAAAAATAAGTTTTCGATCCACTTCATCCCAAAATGTTTATCTGATCATCACCGTTGTACTTGACCAAAACTAGAACCTCATGGAACATTTCAAAGCGATCACCGCTATATTTCCGCCCTCTAGTGTGGTAATGGTTTATTAAATAATATCTGAATACGTAAGCACCTGTACATATTTACGTGTAACTCCCACACCCGAGTACATACGACAATATAATTGGTATCAATTTGGATATACTATCA